TAATCCCTTGCCTAAGAAAACCCTATGAAATTCATGGACTTGCCCTCTCAACAGGACGCTTGAAGGCTTGCACACACACATTTTGAAAAACCATCCGTACAAACATTTTGCAAGAAAGATTTTTCTCCACAGTGGGATCTTTATTTATATTTTAAATAATAATAATAATAATAATAATAATAATAATAATAATAATAATAATAATAATTTAACCCTTATGACAGTTCTCCATTATAGTAATGCACATGCTCTGAGAGCATTTCTAAAGAGCGGGGCAGAAATGCAATAAATAATAACAGGACCAACGACGTCAGTATTAAAAGGTATTTCATGCATTTTAATATTGCATGAAATTGCATTTCATGCAATGTAATGAATGCATTATTTCCGCAGCACAGATGCACCCAGGGAATCACAGTCCAACAATATCTGCAAGGCCACACTTTGGCTATCCTGCTTTGCAGCCAAGTTATAAAAATGTTGATTTCCTAATCTTCGGATACTACCTGTGTGTTTGGTATGGAGACACTTTCCTGGTACCTGCAAGACTTTGGCTATCAGTGATTATTGTTGTAGGTGTGCCTAAAAAAGGTCTTTTAGGGCTAGAGAAAGGTGTATGGGATGGGTTTACTGTGGGTTATTTTTGAGTTGCAATTGATTTAATCAGCAACTGACATGTAATATTGGTACTAAAAATAGCCGAGTGCTCGTATAAACACCTGAAGTTGAGTGTTGCAAGGATCTAGCAACATATATATATATATATATATATATATATATATATATTTGATGATTTCTGAAGATGAGTACAGATGGGAACGACTCACTGATGATCCTTGAAAGAGGAATTTTCTGAATACTTTATGCACATCTGCAGCACCACTAATTGCACTGTATTAATTTTAATTCTTGTTTTAAATTGCCCAATGGTTTTAATTATAATGTGATTTAATAATGTTTTAAGGGGGGAGGGAAAATGTTGTTTTACGTTGTCTGCTAATTTTTATGCTGTAAACCGTCCGGATTGGGCTACCAATGGGCGGTATAAAAATAAAATTTATTATTATCATTATTATTAAATACCGTAAAGCAGAATTTGCTCCCGCTTGGATGCAAAATTGCAAGTGATGGATGTCAATACATTTTGGAAATATACAGCTTCAATTTAGCATTTTATAAATTGTAGATGGCATCCAGTTGGTTAGTCCCAAGTAGAGTAGACCCATTCAATCAATGGTTGAATGTTGAGTCAACACAAAGGCAAATTTCATTGATTCACTTGGTCTACTCTACTTAGGATTAACATCAGAGTTTAGGCACATATTTTAGAAGACATAGGGATGCATACACACTTATAATCGATTTTACAATTCTGTTAAGGTTTTCCTAATCTGCAGCATATTAATTCATTTATTCCGGCACACAGCCAGCACTAAATACTAAAATAATTACAAGAATAGCAAAATATCCATGTAGATACATTATATTTTAGTGTAGCATATAAATACAGATATCTTTGAATATCTAGAATAAAAACCCAGTGTTGTGCATCTATTGGCAATGTGATCTAATGATCTAATCTAATTTGTCTATAAAACTATGAATTATTCAGGGTATGTGTGTATAAGCACAGAGACACTTGCAAATTTTCATAAAAACTAGATTACAAGCACCTTCTTAAAAGAGGCATCTTACCTTCTCTTATACATAGAGAAATGGTTCTGCAGAAATAATCCATTTTGATACCACTTTAATTGCCATGGCTCAGTGCTATGGAATTCTGGGATTTGTAGTTTTGTGATGACATTTAGTCTTCCCTGATTCATGCAAACATTTGACAGCAATGTTAACATTTGTTATTTTACGGCTTATCCGCAAAGCTCTGGTGTTACAACAAATTAAAAATCTATAATATTGAGCCATGGCACTTAAAGTGGTATCAGCCTGGATTATTTCTGCAGTGCAGATGCAACCTTTAAGAAGATGTCTGTCAGAAGCCATGTGTGTCTCTCCTTTTTTTTATAAAAAGGAAGCATACCTATTGTTTCAGAAATTCTGTTTTTACCTTCAGGTACATATTTAATCAATTGATTAACCAGCTAAGAGTATTTTTCTTCACCATTTACCATTTAATTCAACTGTAGCTTTACTTATATTTGTATCACAATGGTTTATTCCCATATAGTCCACAATCTGTTCAATTTCTCCTCGCTGTTATTTGTCTCATTCTTAGGAATTTAGGCTAATATCCCGTTTCAGCTTACTTTTTAATACGGAGGATCATGTTGGTTTTGGTCCTGTTATTATGTATTGCATTTATGCCTCACTCTTTAGAAATGCTCTCAGAGCATGTGCATTACTATAGTGCATAAGGATTAAAATATAAATTAATAATAATAATAATAATAATAATAATAATAATAATAAATTATTTATTTATAGCCCGCCCAATCACAAAGAATCCGGGCGGGTTACAACAATAAAAATACATAGAGTACAATAGAAATAAAAAATTAATCCCTTCCCAAAACCCACCCACCCACCCACCCACCCAGTGCTAAAATTACAATTATTTAAAGATCCCACTGTAGAGAAAAATCTTTCTTGCAAAATGTTTGTACAGATGGTTTTTCAAAATGTGTGTGTGCAAGCCTTCAAGTCGCCTGTTGACAAGGCAACTCCATGAATTTCATAGGGTTTTCTTAGGCAAAGAATACTCAAAGGTGGTTTTATAATATAATGATATAATAATAATAAAATTTATTTATATCCCACCCCTCTGCAAAGCAATCGGGGCGGCTTACAACAGTTCCTCTGGAACATACAGTGCATCTACACTGTAGAAATAGTGCAGCGTGACACCACTTTAATTCCCATGGCTGAGTCAACCCTAGAGCCCTGCCTGGGATCGAACTCACAACCTTGTGGATGGAGGACCAGCATTTAACCACTGCGCCATCAGGGCTCAGTGCTATGGAATCCTGGGAAATGTACTTTGCTGTGGCACCAGAGCTCTCTGAGAGAGAAAGCTAAATGTCTCCCAAAACAATAAATTCCATTTGGTGTTAAATCTAATATAATACATTTTATCAAGCACATTTCCTAAACCTTTCCTGCATTGCTTGGGTGTGTTTGTTTGTTACCAAACAGATCTCCCTGAATTTAGTAACTTTGCTACAACAAAGGGAAAACTTTAAAATTCAGATTAATGGTTTGTAGGTCTGGGTTCTGTTTTGTTTTTTAAATCATTATCGTTGGGTTAGGCCACTGACATTTGTGTAGGAATGTTTGCTGTCAGATTTAAAATTAATTGAGTTTACATAGAGGGTAAGCGCTATTTGCTGTCTGCAGTGAGTAAAGCCATTCATTCAGTTTTAATGCAAAGCCAAAATAATCCAAGACAGAAGACGTTTGGATTAAAATGAGGTTTTTGGGTTTTTTTGTCTTTAGGGCAGTTTTCGAAGAATAGCCTGTGACCAAGAATTACAAAGTGCGGTCAGAATAATATGCGAACAGGTAATTGTATTAAGATTTTATTAATTCCAATATTATTACTACACAACACGTTGGAATAATGTACATCTCTATGTATCTGAATACTTAATGGTGTGATATTTTTGGTGACTGGCCTAAGTCAATCAAGTATGTTGATAATATTTAGGGTGCTCAAAACGTCTATTGACAGTTTTGATTTAATAGTAAACTATGGTCTGGTTTTTAGAAAATAAGTTATGAATTAAGCCCCATGAGAAAGAGGAGAGAGCATGAGGGCATAATCATTACTAACTAAACTATGATTTAGATGATTATCTGAATTTCATGTAATCATCTAAATCATAGTTTGATTAGCGATGATCATGCTCTGAATTCATATAATAATCTAAATCATAGTTTGGTTAGTGATGATCATGTTCTGAATTCATATAATCATCTAAATCATAGTTTGGTTAGTGATGATCATGTTCTGTATTCATATAATCATCTAAATCATAGTTTGATTAGTGATGATCATGTTCTGAATTCATATAATAATCCAAATAATAGTTTGGTTAGTGATGATCATGCTCTGAATTTATATAATCATCTTGATCAAAGTTTGGTTAGTGATGATCATTCTCTGTATTCATATAATCATCTAAATCATAGTTTGATTAGTTATGATCATGTTCTGAATTCATATAATCATCTAAATCATAGTTTGATTAGTGATGATTGCTCTGAATTTATATAATCATCTAAATCAAAGTTTGGTTAGTGATGATCATTCTCTGTATTCATATAATCATCTAAATCATAGTTTGATTAGTGATGATCATGTTCTGAATTCACATAATCATCTAAATCATAGTTTGGTTAGTGATGATCATGCTCTCATGCTCTCTCCTCTTACTCATGGAACTTAATTCATAAAATCTTTTTACAATGATAATGAATAAAAACCTACACCCAAAGTACACAACTTCTACATATAGTAGGGTGATTCTCCAAACAAGATTGCCTTCCTTTTTGTCTTGGAATTTATAGTCAATGGAAAAAGTATACTGATGATTACTGCTAACTGTCATCTGCCAAGAGAGATGCTGAAATAATCCTGGAATAAACCCATATATTGCTGTTTCCAGTTTTGTGGAGGGGAAAGATTTCAAAAGGCGAGGGGGTGGAGTGGAGATAGCACCTTCTTCCTTTTTCTCACTTTCCTGAAATAATTATAGCGCACCCTGAATCCTGAGTAGGTTGTTGTAGTTGTTGCTTTACTATCTAGTGCGAGCGGGGTATTTAAACCTAACAGTGAGGCAGCTTTCCAAATCTGATCTCGCCCCCTTTAAGAGCTGTCAAAAACTTGAGCAGAACAATTTCATAAGTCATTTCCAACTTATAGCAACCCTAAGGCGAACCTATCATGGGGTTTTCTTGGCAAGGTTTCTTCAAAGCACATTTGCCATTGCCTTCCCCTGAGGCTGAGAGAGTGTGACTTGTCCAAGGTCACCCAGTGGGTTTCATGGCCAAGCTGGGAATTGAACCCTGGTCTCCAGAAGTGTAGTCTAACATGAAAACCACAATACCACACTTTCTCTCCACTGTCAAATTTCAATTTCATTTTTGGGATTTTTGAGGATTTGAAAAGATCAGGTTTTTGTTCGAATTAACCCCCTTTTAAATTCGAATTTCGTTATCAGACGAGGCGGAACAGGACAAATCCCGTAAATTAAAGTCTTCCACTCGTCCAGTTTATTTCCACTTTTTCCCCGTGTGATAACGTCCATAATAGGGCTTTATGCTTTCCAGACCCCTCACCATTTTAGTCGCCCTCGACCTTTGGACATGTGAGATGATTTGCATCGTTGCGCTAAAAATAATAAATCTGAATGATCCCATCCCATGTCCCCTTTTTCCTGTTTCTTCTTTTCCTTTTTCTTGGGCCACTTTCCTTCCTATAGGCCCTATCTATTTTTCAACATTGCATAGTTCACCTTTCCACACTAACAATGTCAGCAGTAACAACACTTTTAACGATTGTGCGATGTCATGGGACATCTGCCGATAGCTCAAAAAGCAGCTTGTAAAACAAGTACAGATATTTACCGTACATTTATATAGCTTCCTAGTTCTAGGCACTGCAGAAATAATCCAGTTTGACACTGCTTTAACTGCCATGGGTTCAATGCTATGGTATTCTGGGATTTGCAGTTTTGTGAGACACATAGCCTACTCTATCAGAGAGCTCTGGTGTCACAACAAACGACAAATCCCAGGATTCCATAGCATTGAGCAGTTAAAGTGGTGAAATAATCCAGTCTGAGACCGCTTTGTATTGGTACTGCATAGATTATTTGCTTTGATTCATATTTAGGAAACTGAGCGACACACAATAGCAAAATGTGTTCCTTAATCAAAGGACCAAAGCACATTGCAGAAATGATCCAGTTTGAGACTGCTTTAACTGCCCTGGCTCAGTGCTAGGGAATCCTGGGAATTGTAGTTTATTGGGGCACCTGAGTTCTTTCTGAAAGAGAAGGATAAATATCTCAGAAAACTTCAGTTCCAGAATTCCCTAGGACAGTTAAAGTAGTCTCAAACTGGATTATTTCTGCAGTGTGTTTTGGACCGAACTGCATTATTTCTGCACCGCAGCCTCAGTCTATTACTTTATAATAATAATAATAATAAAATTTATTTATATACTGCCCAATGGTTGCCCAATCAGGGCGGTTTACAACATAAAACACAATTACAATAAAGAACAATTCCACCCCCTTAAAACATTATAAACTATTAATTACCAATTAGCTACCAATTATCATCACTTAGATATATGATATAATCATCATCATCATCATCATCATCATCATCATCATCATCATCATCATCGCTTTCCCCCAAAAAAGTGGGACATAAAGCAGCTTACCAATGAAAAAGCAATACAATTAAAAACATACAAAATTGGGCATTAAAATGGAATTAAATCGGTATCGTATTAAAACACATCACATATAATCTTAACCCAACATTTCCAGTTTAGGCTAAAGGCACCAGATCCCTCCAGATCTTGGAAGCTAAGCAGGGGCAACCCTGAGTAGTACTCGAATGGGAGACCGCCAATGAATACCAGGCGCTGTAGAGGCTATATTTCTTCAGAGGAAGGAACTAGCAAAACCACCTCTGAATATTCCTTGCAAAACTCTTATTTAAAACCCATGGGGTTGTTCTAAGTTAACAGGCTATATATATATATATATATATATATATATATATATATATATATATATATATAATTTCCTTAGACTTGAAGGCACACACATTGTTAACTTCATTTGCAATACAAGTTGTAGCCCTACTTTCTTAAGAATTGGATGCAGGTGGTTTCCCGACAAACTCTGCAGAATCCAAATAAAATTGGAAAGAAATTCAGGTTGGATGAGTTTATTTTGTCTGCGAAGAACAGTACCGGAGGAACAAGCAGATCTGGTTACGATTCTATAAAAACAGCGTATCCCTGTCTAAAAGTACGGAGATATTTATTCTTCACCCTTCTGACCCAACTCACCTTTTCTACCTGGCCTGCAACAAAGTCAAAATATAATATTTATATTATTGGCTCTGCTGCAGGGCATTTCTCCCACTTTCACCAAGAAGAGTAAGGCTTTTGTACAGGAAGCATCCCGAACCGAGCTATATTTCATTTTTCTGCCTTTGAGAAGTTTAAATGTAATTTTCCAAAGATTGGAAAAGTGCTATCATCTCCCCATGGCACTCTGTTTCCAGATAAAGACATTCTGCCGCTCCATTTTAAGGTGTTGCTAGAAATAACAGCGACTGTGACACCTAATGTGCGAGTTGGCACATCGCTTTCAAATGTGCGATGCCAGAAGCGGATTCGATTTTAATGGAAATGGTTTAGTCCTAAAGTTTAAAGTGAGAAAAGTAATATTCTTCTCTCGCTGCACCGTATTCCTGGAATAGCCTCCCTGAAGATTTGCCTCTTCTGCCTCTTCTCTGGCTAGTTTTACATCTGAATTGAAGACATTCTTGTGTGTTAAAGCATCTGGAATTGTACACTAATACTGTTTTATAATTTTATATTTGATTATATAATAATAATAATAATAATAATAATAATAATAATAATAATAATAATAAATTTGATTTATATACTGCCTTGTGGCAAGCCAATCCGGGCGGTGTACAATAATAAAACAACATACAGCTAAAACAGTATAATTCCCTCCTCCCCCCCTTAAAAAGTTATTAAATCAGATCTCAATTAAAACAGTTTACATTAAAATAAAACAAATTAAAAATAGAAATACAATAAAAATACAAGTATACACACAAACCAGCAGTCCCCTGGAACTGCAAAGTTCTAGATGGGGACGATAAAATATCTCAGTTGCTATTATAGTAATAATAATAATAATAATAATAATATTTATTCATTTCCCGCCCCTCTGCAAAGCAACAGTATTGCATTTTATCTCCATAATTTGTTTATAATTACTGTATAGCATATATTATTATTATTATTATTATTATTATTATTATTATTATTATTATTATAGCAGCATAGCAATCAGGGCGGCTTCCAACATAAAAATATAGTACAATAAAATCAACCCCAACCTTCCCAACCCTTAAAAAATTATTAAACAGCATCAAGTTTAAAACAATTTAAAAATAAATTACAAAATTACAGATTACGATAATTGCAGCAGCGGCGGATATAATAGCAGCTGGGATGGGGAAAAGAAGAGGTACGGAGGACAGGTTCTATGACTTGGAGGACTAATAGCAGTTTCCTTATAATATGAAGGGGGAGAGAGGTGCTAACACATTTTGCAAGATCTTCTACCGCCAGATTTTATCCCTAAAAGCAGAGCAAGCTACAATAAATCTCTCCTTGTGTTTCCTTAGATCATGAAGAGCTCTGTGGCAGCAGTTATGGATCTTTCTGTCTAAATGGAGGGATTTGTTATATGATACCTACTATTTCCAGTCCTTTTTGCAGGTAATCTGTTGAGAGTTACATTTTGCATTTAAGGCATCTGCTTTGTAAAAGCCATAACAACTGCTCTAGGTCAGCAGCGACGAACTTCTGCAAAGGAACAAATAGTTTTGCCAATATCTATAGTTCCTGTTTCTTATTGGTTATGTGTGCGCTGAATTCATTTTAGGTAATATATGTAAGGCCAGCTCCAGGTCTTTGTAGGTAAGAGACCCATACATAGTGCTAGCCTAATACTAGCCACACATCTGGCTATTATATCTGGTCTTAGAATCATAGAATCATAGAGTTGGAAGAGACCACAAGGGCCATCCAGTCCAACCCCCCTGCCATGCAGGAACTCCCAATCAAAGCATGTCTTAGCAAAGACATAATATCAGATATAATAGCCAGATGTGTGGCTAGTATTAGGCTAGCACTATGGGTCTCTTACCTACAAAGGTATTAACATTTATATTCCACTTTATTGTCGGCGCATGTGCTTAATGTACAGCCAGGGTGGGCAAAGTATGGCTCTCCAGATGTTGTTAAACTGTAACCTCTATCTTCTTTAGCTGGCATAACCAAAGAAGCAATGATGGACATCTGCACATATTCAATACTCTATGAGTTGTCTATATATTGCTTAGCATTCTGCTAGGGACATCTGTGTGCATGCATTTCCCTTATATGTGCGCATATTGTTTTTTTGGATGCCGTGGGACTAATAAAACTAGGCAGTTTCTGGGAACATCTCTCATTTCTGTACACACAGCCAGTCATTATAGAACAGTGGTGCGAATCGTGCTTTCCCAAGGCTTATGCTGGCTTGCAGGAGTGTATCACTACAATGGCACGATTGTTCTGCCGGCTGCATTATTCCTAGCAGCACAGTGGGATTTAATAGCCATCCCTTCCTGCCAAGGGGCCAGAAGTGATGGAGAGGATCATGCTGTAAATTAAGAGTGCCCTGTCGCGGCATGTTTGCATTCAAAGTATGCACCTTTTTCCGTCAGACAAGGAAGCGAATTATAAAGTAGAAAGGTTCTGTAATGATAGAAGTAATAACAATAAAAGAAAGTGAACCACTGCTCACTGAAATAGCAGAAGGACTTATTAAAAGCCTGGTTAGAACTGACACCAGCCTGCAAAGGATCCAACTCCAACCTGATTTTATTGTTGTTGCTGTTGCTGCTGCTGCTGTTGTTGTTAACTGCACTTGAGATGAACCTGGCTCATGGCAACCCCATAGATCCTTATCCTATAGAATCATAGAGTTGGAAGAGATCCCAAGGGACATCCAGTCCAACCCCCCACCATGCAGGAACTCACAATCAAAGCACCCTGAAAGATGGCCATCCAGCCTCTGTTTAAAGACCTCCAAAGAAGGAGACTTCACCACTCTCCAAGATAGTTTATTCCAATGTTAAATAGCTCTTACTGTCAGGAAGTTCCTCCTAATGTTGAGGTGGAATCTCTTTTCCTGCAGCTTGCATCCATTGCTCCAGGTCCTATTCTCTGGAGCAGCAGAAAACAAGCTTTCTCCATCCTCAATATGACACCCTTTCATATATTTAAACATGGCTATCATAT